ATTTTATTTTAGATAAACTTTTTTATTAATTCAGTTGACAAAAGTTCATCCAAGTATGAATTGTTAAGCTTTACACAATCCACAATGATGAATAACAGTGTGTGAAAAACCTTAAAGCTTATTCAGCTTCTGAACTACTAAGCAAACACACATTACAGAATGAGATTAATTTTAAGCTACAGCATTTGCTGACAAAAGTTTAGTAAAATCTTCTCTTCCCACTGGTGAAATGCCCACCTCTTTAAAGAACATCACTTTTAAAAATCCTGGTAAAAATAGCCATGCTATTGGCTTGTTTTTAAAAAATAAGTACAAACATTATAATTGGCATTTTCATAGCTAATGATAAAATACTGATCTTTTTTAATTCTGCTCTGCAATAATTGTTGAGTTTTTTTCTTTTTATAAGTTAGCTTTCTAATTTACATTTAATTTAAAGGATTTTTTAATTTTTGTTTTCAAGTTAGAAGCTTTCCAGTAGCATTTGGAGATATTTCTGTAAGCAAACCAATGTGAAACAATTGAACACATTTAACTGATAAATCTTGAGTTGACAAAGAACCACAATGCAGGCTAAACTATTTTCTAATATGTATTGAAATGTATGTTTAATATGTATGATGGTGTAGAAATTTCACTTGAAAGCTGCAGTGTTTTTTACACAAGACTGTTGATCAAACTATGCATTAAAAAACCCCTGTTCTGTCCTCATAATATGACAAACATATCTTTGTCTTTTGGCTCATATATTGCTCCAGAATCCATACTAACCATATATTTTTCAACTTTGTTTTAGTACCTATATTCTTATTTTCACCCACATTCACAGGCAAAAGCAAACACATTCACCAGTTCAGGTAAGAGAGGGATTTTTTTTCTGAAATACTTGAATAGAATCATAGAATATCCTGAGTCAAAAGGGACCCACAAAGATCATCAATTCCTGGTGCTGCACAGGACAGCCCCAAGAATCTGACCATGTGCCTGGCTTATCTAAATTCTTCCTTCATTCTGGCAGCCTTGATGCTATGACCAGTTCCCTGGGGAGCCTGTCATTTTATGGGAAAAAAAGAATACTGGAATACTAATATAATTCTATTCCCAGGATTTATGAAGAAATAGTAATAAAAAACACAGGAAAATTTAGGTGGGAACAGAAAGTCCTTATTATTTCTACAGATGGAAACTCTAGAATTTATCAGTGCAACCTGTGATAATGTTTAACCAAATTCATTCTGAAAAACATCTTACACCTATTTAGAATGTTCTGTGTTCCAACTTCCATCTGTCACCTATCATTCTACCCAATGCACCTCTGAGAACACTCTTGCCCTGTCTTCCGTACGTCCTTCCTTCACCTGGTTGCAATCAGAAGCTTGCCCCTCCTGGCCCTTCTCTTGTAGTTAAAACCCCTTGTTTCCTCTGCCTCATTTCACTCCCCAGGTGCTCTCCAGCCACCTGCCTTCCAGGCATCCCTGCACAGAACCTGCTCCAGCATGATGATCTCTTTCCTATAGAGGGATGCCCAAAACTGTATAGGGCACTCAAGATGTATCCCTTCAAACAGAAGGGATGAATCACCTGTCCTGATCTGTTGGCTACACTTTTGCTGCAGCAGCCCAAGGTGCAGCTGGCTCTTGCTGCAAGGACACACTGCTGACTCAGAGAATCCCCAAGCAAGTATCACAGTAATTCAGAGAATCATTTAGATTGGAAAAGACCTCTAAAGTCCTGAAGGTCTTTTCCTGCAAGGCTGTTTTCTATCCCTGGCTGTGTTGTAACAAGGGGATACTCCATCCCAGATGCATTTGCAAACCATTTATGAATTTCAACTTGATAAGGTTCCATTCAGCCCATTTCTCCAGTCTGTGCAGGTCTAGGTTCCAGCAGGCTCGCCTCTCATGAGGCTACTGGATTTGACAATCTTTAAATCTCTAAAAAGACTACCATATATCCCTTCACAACAAGTAGCCTAAATTAGATAGAACACTGACAGCTGTACAGGAAAACTGTATAATTTAAAATTTTATTTACTTGACCAACACAGCAGCAGCTGTCTGCTTATGTCACAATGCATCCCAGCTATTTCGTCAATGTTCTTGAAATTAGGGATCTTATACATTTATCAATTAGATTTGCTGTACTTTTGTTTTCAGTGAATTTGCAAAAATTGTATCTAAGGAAAACATAATTTTCCTAGTAATAAAGTGTGAATAACATAGGCATTTCTAAAGGAGAAAACTTTACTGAAAAAAAGCATTCATAAAGCAGGTGTGTTTTCCATGCTATTCAATTTATTAGATTGTATTTTTGCTGCTTGTAAGATACAGAAACTTCAGCATATTGCTTCAGGCACTCAGGCACAAATGCCAGTCTATTCAAGAGACTTTCAATAACAAATGGCACATCACTTCTACCAATTTCAGTAGTAAGTAGAAATTCAGTTGAGAAAAAGTCTCTTGCCTGACCAATTTGCAAATGCTGTGTTCAAAGAAGAAAAGTTGGCTAGGCTTGAGCTATGTTCCTCAGTTCAAACACTAGAGATTTTTCAAAAAAAAACCCAAAACAACAAAAACCCAAATAAACTGCTCAAAACAGTGATAAACAGTGATAAAGACTATGAACTAGTAACCTAAAGTTTTAAGGATTTGCTAACAGTACATTTCATTAATATATGCTTAAAATTATCAGAGACTTAAGAACTCTAAAGATATGCTGGCATCTAATTCCCCCCCCAAAACCAACAGGAGTGACAGACTGACAGATCTGGCCCAGAAGGAATAAGCACTTCAGCCAGAGGAATGGAGCAGCACACAACATGACTTGTCTCCTTATGGCATGTATCCTGAAATTTTAATACTCAGCAGGCTGAGTAAGTATCTGCCATTAGGGAAACTGGGGAAGGGAAGAGTTCACAAATTTTGTCCTAACTCGTGGTCTAAGCATTTTATTCAGTTTTATCAGAAGCGACTGATTCTGCCTTTGGTTCACATCCAAGTACCGGTTCCTGAAAAGAATGCACTCAAGTCCTTTTTAGCAAAATTCCTATTGACCGCAGTCCCCAGTCCCCTAAAAAAATGACTATAGATGAAGTGTATGTCAAAGAATACAATGCTAAAGAAACTTTCTCAAATCTGAATGACCACTGGAAAATCAGCACAGCAGTCAGAAAGATACCTGACTGCATTTGTATTTGTATTAGTTCTAAGCCCCTCTAGTGAGGATTTAGAATTTTTTGGACAGAAGATTACTCATTTAATACATATGGGATAAACAACAACCCAACAAAAACAGATTAGATTATTATTTATTTCATCTTCACATCACTTGCCAAGTCTAAGGACAGCTATGTAACTGTAAGCTTTCAATGTTATTTTCTACAAAACAGTATTTTGGGTATTTCTTAATATGTATTTAGTTTAAATGCTAGAAACTGCATATGTAAAACATCTCAAGGCCAATTACAGATATCAAGAATTTGCTTAAAATCTCTTCTGTTATACTATTCCGTTATTCTTCTGTTATTCACAGACAGACTAGCAGTCCAATTATTAAACTTCTGGAATAACTGGAGTCTCAGAACACATTCCAAGTCATCTGACCTTGATATCACTGATAACTCAAAAGTATAAATTTATCAAATAAGAAAAAAATTCACCAAGGAAACATCTCCTGCACAGCAAGAAATTTCCCAACCTTCATACCACTGACTGGAGTAATACTTAAATAACAGCATTATTTAAACATACCTCAGTATTACTCAAACATATTTCAGATAACTTTCTTGAAATTCAGTCAAACCATTTTTAAATTAAAATTTAAAGTGCTAGAGAAGCAAACTTGACATGCCAATATAGGCCATGCTTAAATAACTTTAAGTAACTAACTTTCTCTAATGTTAACAAGTCTAGATGGTGACATGATATAAAATAAGAGTTTATCTTAAGGAGTTAATTCTCACCTGATTTATTAAGAATGATACATTTAAGTCAACTTCACGTACAGCTTCTGCTGAATTTGTCAAAGACTCTTCTGACTTCTGCCATTTTTAAGCAAACTTGCATTCCATATTTTTGTTACATCTTTGGCATTCTACTGAATAGTTATTTCTTATGGAAAAATCACTCATTTCACTTGATTGAAGGGTAGTTTGAATTGCTTAAACTGAGGAAGTGATCAATGTTTTTTGTAAATTTTTGCTACTATTATCACATAAAATTTTGCACTGAGCTTGCCATGTTATACTTAATATTATCTATTCATATTTCCACTGATAAAAAAAAAAGAACACATGCCTATACAATCCTCAATTCTTGAAACTCAAGTACCATCACCTTCCATTTATTAGGTTCACTGAGAAAACAAAGAAACACACTAATTGAGAAGCTAAAAAATGCAAAGTCTTCACTTCCATGAAATTCACCAAGAGACCAGTTTCCTTTTGTTACAATTTCTTAAATAAACTTATCATCCTCCAAACAATGTACCAGAAGAATTTCTTAAAGTAAACCAATGTTTAAACAAAGAGAGGGACTTCTATCTCCTCATGAAGATATAAAATACATCTGACATTTTGAAGACAGGTCAGCAGCTTTACATGATTCATTCCAAACCTTTTAATACCTTGAATGATAAAATTATGGTTAAACAGGTTCACAAAACTTATCAATCTCTGCAAGTAGGAAGCTAAAAGTCTTCAACTGAAAATTACAGCAGTATTGGTGGTGGAAATAAGTTGCTGATAATCCATTCAAGCTCCAGCAAATCAATGAATTCCAAATAAGACTACTATTTTATCGCTGAACAAAGAAGATACAAAATTGCAGGAAATTTTCTTTTTTAAAAAGCAGGTCATAATGCAAATTTTCAAACTCCACTAAAATCTCACGCTCCCAAGTGTATATGATTTTTATTTAAAAAAAATCAAACTTGTTCTTGTGATAATTCCTAACAGCAGAAATGCTTAGCAATTATAAAGAAATCAACAATTTGTACATTACCTAATGCTGCTCATGCTTCCAGTTTCTGATCCAAGCTTACATCTCTCCAGTTGGCTCGCCACAATCTGACGTTCAGCCTCAAGTTCTCGAGTCAGTCTCTCAAACTGCAGTTCCTGAAAACAATAATTTAAACAATTTGCTTTGACTTCTCTTGAGATTAAGAAGGAATTTCAGCACATAAAAATGAAATTTGTGCAAGAATTATTAGCTTAATATCTTATAACAAAGCTTCCTTTTTTTCTTTTTTTAACACATTCAAAGTTCACATTTTTGTGGTGACACCTACTTGTTCCTTCATTTGTCCTAACGATGCATGTCATAGAATAAGACTGTTTATCAGGAAAGGAAATTCTAAATATATTAAATAATTTCACTTACAGAATTCATGCAGATCTCTCAGTAACACACAGATCTTAGCAAACTGACCTAAGTATGATCACAATTAAGTACAATTTGTGTTACTGATAAAAAAAGATGCTAAGTTCTGTGGATAATCTAATTTAAGTTTCTGCACTTAAAAAGATAACCATCACAGTGTACACCAGTGAAATAAACTCAATGAAAGGTGTGTTGATAGGGCCAGAGCACAACTTAATTTCTGCAGTTAATGATGTGCAGAAGAGAAACTCAAGTCGTTTTGGACAAAAGCTGTGCTTAAATTCCTACCACTAATTTAATTTATTTTCTTTTATTCTATCCAGGAAACCAAACCAGTCCTACCAGATAAGATTTATCCACGGAGCTTATAAGGGTACTTATAAAGTGGCTTTTTTTATACACAAAAGATTATTTTTTATTAAAAAAAAAAAAAAAAAGAAAACCAATATAATTAAAATCACCACCATTTCTCAAAGGGCTACATTCCTCACATATTGTAGCACTAGTTTTATCAAATAAAAAAATTAAACACCTTTATGGTTATTGTAATTTGTCAAGTGTTGCTGCCCTTTCATTTTGATCAGTAACATTGCATCATTTTCACAGGTAAACAAAAACATCTCCCCTGCCCCTTTTATTTAGGTTTGTTGAAGGCTCAAGGAGAAATATATTGAGAATCCCTTTCTTAAATAATTCCCTTATCCAATCCACACAAATGAACCCATTATCACTTTCTCCCTCTATTTTCTTCCAAAACAACTCCCCTTTAATTCAGAGGTATGGGAGGGAGTCCCTTGAATAACTCCCCAGCAAAGTCCTGCTGGGCAGAACAGCACTGGAAATTACTGGAGTCGTGACTTATGCCCACCAAGGGACATTGAAGGACTTAATATTTGAGAGAAAGGAAGAAATGACAGAAATAGAGTAGGATTTGTAAGTGCTCATTCTAAGTCCTACCTAAAACTTCTGACCAAGTAATCAACGGTAAATAAAGGCCTTAAATTTTTCAAATCTCTGAAATGAGGCAAATGATAACTGAAATGTAAGAAGGAACTCACTGATCATCATTCTGCTTAATCCAGCTGGACCACTCTCCTATGTTTCCCTTGCTATTGTCATGGAAAAATTTCTGCCTTGCACTATGAGTAAAGGGGGACATCTACATAGGTTATATTCAGCATGAAATAGCCAGTGAATACTTAAATGGCCACTGACTATGTGACAAAGCCTGCTTAAGTGTGAATTTATTACTCCAAACAAATCTATACAGAGTACAAGAATACCACTGAAAGTCAGATTGGTGTAAAGAACAAAACATCACTGTTCATTAAATGTCAACACTGCTGTAGCAATCAATAGTTAATAATATTCTCTGCACATTTTTGTAGTGTACAGCAACACGTTATTCACTGTTGTCTGAAGATATGATTAACAAAAATCACCTGACAATAATCATCTATTTCATATATGCATCCTTTACAGAGAGCATTTCTCTCACCTAGAAGAATCAATTGCCTGAAAAGCTGAAGAGACAGTTTATCGGCTTTCCAAGAGTTATTATTCAAATCCAGATCTTGTTTGCATAAAATAAAACCCTTAATGCAGAAAGGATTCTATTAGAAATATTAGTAAATTGTTGAAGAATGAAAAATCAAAGTGGTACAGTATTTGCCATGCCAGCATGCTTAAATCAAAGTGTGTAAGGCTGGAGAAATTATGATAGTATTATTATACTAATAAAATACCCAAGAAAATCTAACTGAGCATTATGTTTACTTTCAAAATACAAGCAGAACTTTTACCAGCTATTCTGTGCCACTACATTTTTTAAGCCACTTGAGTCTATCTCAGCAATGCAAATTTAGGTGCTTAGCATAGATTTTCACCCAGTCACTTCAGCTCTCACCATCCCAGGTGAGGCAGGTCAGGAGTTCTCTTTGCCATGGCTCAGAATGGGCACTTGCCTTACCTGCCCAGTGAGGAGGTGGAGCTGTCCCCTCAATACTGCTGAGAGAATGTTAAGCACCAAGAATTCAGGAACAAATGCTCAACACTCTCCATGTTGTCCACTTGCCTTTTCCTAGACAAAAAAGTTCAGTTCCTTGTGCTCTTTAAGTCTAGTAGGGGTGCAAACAATGGTTCTCTAGTTTCTCCCTTTTGTCCATGCTATCCCAAGCCAACTAAATACAGAAATGCCTCAATCCTATTTTACAGAAATACTTCAAAAGTAGCATTATTCTGTTTTTCCTTTCTTCAGCTCTCTGGATTGTATGTCTTCTCATACTTTTCTATGCTTTCTATTCCTTCAGTTAATTACTCTGATTGACAACATTTCCAGAAACTTCTGCATTTCCTCAACAAATACCCTTTAGCTAAGATTACTTTGTCCCCAGAAGATTTTTTCTCATTATTCTAGTCTCTAAAACATACTTTTCTACTCTTCACTCTGCCATTTTTTTTTCCTGCTTACAGCTTTCTGTTCTCTTCTGCCTTCCATCTTTCTTTCATTTCCTAGCGTGTTTCATGACTCATCCTCCACTAAATCTCTTTCAGTCCTATTACACAAAGTGCTACTCCAGCAAATGCCCTAAATTGATTGGTTTAAGGAGTTTTTCTCATTCTCTCTCTCCCTGGTTCCTTATTGAGGAAACTCTTCTGTTCTTAAGACGTACAAATTGATGTTTTCTGGTTTCACTGCCCACATAATTTAAGTCCTGCCCTGCAGAGATGATTAGAAAAGGGCAGTTGTATCTATGTTACTCCTCAAGCAGGAAGCAGGAAGCAAAATTTCTTTCACTTAAGAAAGAAATAGCCTTGGGTTTCTAACACATGAAAATGGCAAGAAAACATGAACAGGAACTCCACTACTAGCTTTTTAATTGCTACTATTTCTTACTTAATTATCTTCTGTCAGGTGCCACCAGAAGTTAGAAATGAAAGAAAGGAAACAAAAGTTGGGGAGGTGGGATATGTGCAGAACCAAACAATTATAACTTCAAGAATTGTCCTCTACATTGAATTTAATAAGCAGTTTTCTTTGGTATTCCCTCATGCCCATGAAAAAGGTGCAGGTCCACAGGGTTGCCTTTGGACTGAAAAAAGGAAAGAAGAATTCAAGTACGAATCTGTTTTCCCTCCATATCAAGAAATCCTGGCAGAAAACAAATTAATAAGCTTCCTTGTCTTTGCTTGGGAAGCAGTGAGAGTGACTAATATTTGAATAAATCCATATGTTTAGATTTCAAGCAGCTGTCATAGTGCAAGTAGACAGAAACCAGAAATAGCGTTTGCTTACATTTTATAAAAATAATCACTGAACCTGACTCCATCATTTGTATTATTTGTTGTGTTTACAATCATTCTCACCAGTTCATGCCATGTTGTGTTATCTTCACAACTTTCTATTATTTCTCTGAATCAAGCTAATCAGAACATCAAAATTAAAAACAAATTCCTACTCACTGATTATGCAAATCTGTTGTCAAGACAATTGCAGAATGAAGAACAGCAGAAACTACAATGCAACATCAAAATTAATTTACATAATAACATGTCAAGAGCAGCCTCAAGGACTGTGCTGCAAAGGGCAATAATGCCAAAGCAAGTGCCCACACAAAGGCACTACAAAGTGCAGTGACCAGCATGGCAGTCCTGGCACTTGGCACCAGGAGGGGGTGTGGGAGCGGGAAGCCACCAGAGATCAGAGATAATGATTTGAGTAATCCAGAGAAACCACTCAAGAGAGCAACTTGGAAAGGGAGGAACTTCATGATAACCTTATCAAATTGTTTTGAAGTGATACAAAGTATTTACCTGCTAGGGCCTGAAGTAATTTATGTTTTAAAAATGGTATTTGTCCACAAACATGGTGGGGTTTATTTTGTAAAAATAATTCATTATTCCATAGATGGCAATTCAATGTACTTTCATTATCAGCATGAGTTTTGTATTTTATCTATCCTCTGCAGCCACCAAAGCTTCAAGCACAATATAAGACTTGAGTCAGGTCATAACATTTCACAGTGGTCCAAACAATGAACAAGCAAGAAGGAAATCTTCACAGCCTTTGGACAAGTTAGGAACTCCTGAGCTCAGGGCACACCAAACCAGAGGGTATTTTGTTATGTTTTATGCTTTACATCTGATGGGCCAACTGCTGTATAGACCCATTTGAATGCTGGGAAGGGCAAAATAGGGCAAAAGAAATTTGGCTGGTATTTGGAGTTGATCTCGTTTTACTTTGTCCTTTACAATCTTAATGTAATCCTTCAATCCTTCCACAAAGAGATGTGTATCAATGCTAAGCAAAAGACAGCAAAATCAGTAGTGACAGTAAAAAGCAGCTAAAAAAAAAAAACCACCAAAAAAAATCCTTAAAAAATCTAAATTTAGGCACAAGAGGCTTGCAAAATTATTGGGTTCCTAAGAATCTTTAGGTCATGACATTAAAAAAGGAGAAGTGTCTAGCTTTTGATTGCAAATATGCTATACAAAACCTAATTGGGGCACTGGTGATCATTTGAATCTTGAAATACAGACAAATAACAGCACTGATAATCCAGGGTAGGAATCCCTGGTGAGATGAATACAGGAAACCTGATTACAGCTACACAAACAAATAAATTGTCTCTGGGATTGAAGTCTATCAGAGGAATATGTTAGAAACCACAGAACTTCAAAAAATACACAGGCTGTAAAAGTGTACAGCATTGGCTCTACCTTTTTGTAACCTGTT